TCTTCATTTGAAATGCATTTATGATAAATTCCCATAACGATGAAATTCTTACTTTTCACAACTCTACTGCTTTGCTTCTTGGCCAGCACAAAGACACTTCACGACAAGACATTTCACGATCCCTAGTGAGCAAGGAAGCTTGCTTCGCTTTATGCAGAGTGCAGATAAATACTTGGGATAATGCAGATTGGAGTACAAGAGTTTTTGTATGTGATGCATGAATTCTGACACTTGAGTGATCATTGGAGCGGCTTCAACTTCTCCACATTTTACGATTTCAGCACTGCGGCAATGGAGAGTGCCAATATCGAGGTGGAAGGCGATATGCGTTTGCTCAAGATTTACATTAAACCCCCATTTTTGTAATCAAAAATCAGAGAAGATCGAAAATGCATATCTAACGAGAAGTGGTCAATAATGAAAGTAACCTGTGATTGAGGAGCCCTAACTGAGAAGAGCTTCAAAAATTTGATGTTTGCTTGTTTGCTGATAAGATACTATTATCTGAACGCAGAATTAATGTTTCACATGTTAAAGGGACAGATCAAATAAGTAATTGTAAGAGACAAGCAAGGCAAGCTCTGCAGAACTAGGATATTTCAAAGTCCCGAAAAACTTATATCCGCCAAAAAGTCTTGCTTAACTTTTAACTACTTTAACTCGAGTAATTTCGTTTTTGCAGAGAAACAGAGAGCAGAAAAATTACAGTCATAATTACAAGGGTTTGTAGTATAGAATTACTTATGTTGAAACGGTCCCCCTTGCTTCGAAAAAAACGAAAATTTCGATTTCTTAGTCTTCAATCAAGGAGTACAGCAACTTCATATATGAGCATCCGATCCCGATAGTATAGATGTATGCTAGTAGGAAATCCGTAAAAAAGATTTTGGACGGAGATTCGATGTTTTTCGCTTTTTGGCCAATAAGAGACAGGGAAGTAAAAGCATTTATTTAACATAATGTAGAAAGCTGGAAAACTTTCAAATCGTCGGAAAAAGTGATACTTAATGTATTTAAACTTCATTATTCGGTCATGAAACTTCAGGCATGAATAAAGGGATCTGAACGACCCTTTTATATCAATGGGCAGCAGTTATAGGTTATATCACCCAGCATCGGTCGGTCCCACGAAACGAGGCAGCGCGCATGCACCGCAAGGCAGAAATCGCAATTGAACGCAGAAGATAGACTTTCGCTCAAGCATTTGAACGCTCCTTTCTGTATTCATATTATTCACTTTGCTGAACTCTCAGTTTCTTTTGGAATTCCTGTCTCAACTATGTAGGACAACTGAACTGATGGCCGCCCGTTGCTTGATGAGCATTCGAGTGAAAATTTATGGGTCGGTAGTAATTTGGTTGAAACTGCGAGTTTAAAGCTCCGCGTTAACCCAGAGTTAATTCAGTGTTCCATTCGAACTCAGAGTTTTGCTTATTGAAACTTTGAGTTTCGCTTTCAAAGTTTCGAGCTCCATCTCTCAATATCGGAGTTTCCATATGATATTTGAGGAGCTGTTATGCACTTTGCTGCAAAAGCGATGTTAAAGTTTTCATTCGAACTTGTGTGGTCTAACGCATAGATCCTATCACTACAACTCTAGGCCTTGACACACTCTTGAAGCTCGAAGTTGCTTGCCATCATGTACTCATTGCATGAACACATAGCATGTCAGAACAAGTTATGTCAAAGCCTCACTCATTTTCATTTCTGTCAAAATGTGGTAGTTTATTGCACGGATTGGCCTTTTGTGCAGCTGGAAGCTTCAAACAATAGTGAAAGCGGATGGCATACGCAATGGTGAGAATGGATTATTAGGATTTGCGTACAGAGTAAACCCTCCGGGTAATGTTTACCCTTATTCCATGATTTGACCCACTTACCGTATGCCTACCGTAACCCGCCAGATGACACCGCCGCATAAAGGGTTTGTGAACTTGTTTGGCGAGCCGAAACCATAGTAGGTCGAACTTTAGGAACGCCCGTAAAAGGGCTCGGGACTAGAAGGAGTTGCAGGTGCGCTCCATTTCGATTAGAACACTTCTTTTCAACTGGAGCACACTATATCTAAATACTTGTGCATCTGACAAGGAGTGTCACCGGTGAAAGGTTGCTGATGTATGACTGTTGCACGGCTGCTACTACGGGTCATGAGATTGACTGAGGGAGAGATGGCTATATGTTATCCGGTAGACTAGAAAAAGATGTTGAAGTATGTAACGCAGCAAGTTACACCAGTGTAATTAGTCACTGCTACGATTGCTTCCTCTTTCAACATCATCCTCCAACACTTCACAGTGACGCCACTTCTATATATGGCTATGGGTAGACGTATACTTTAAATCTCTATGAAAAACGTTATGTTGAAGAGCTAATGCTTCTTTTGATATGATCGATTGTCCCACAGCTTTGGACCCAATTCTGGCCAGCTGCTGCGTTTGAAGTTTCGACCGGAGTCTCGAACAGTGGTACTGTTTCAGTCATATTGAGTGAGGGTGGAAGCTCAGGATGATGGGGTGAAGTGACTAAAAATGAAACGGCGTTAGCGGCAAACAATAGTTCAAAATTCTAGAAAAATGCCTATTTTTGTCATAAAAATCATTTTTGCGAGAGTGTGAGTATATCTAATTTCATAACTGGGGACTCATTGATTGACACTGATGTTTCCATGAACGGCAATTATTATGATGCAACAAAAGTTTTCCACGAAAACAGGTTTAAATGTAAAAGTAATATTTCTCTCACATTCTAGATGTTCTGGAGCAACTTTCAATGAGCAAAGTAAGCTTTCCAAGGTAACTTTGAAGATTCGCAGCAATTTTGATCCACAAAGCTCGAAGCCAAAAATCAATAGACCCATCTGACCCGAAAAATCGAAAAGAAAACAACTAGGATTTTCTTTAAAAACATCAAAGTCTCTAACTTGCTCACACATAGCATTCTTTATCGGACATTCAAATAGACAATTGCCAAACTTGGGCTTAGCTAATTGATAAAACGGAATTGCTTTTGAGTTCGCTTTTGCCAAAGCAATACTGAGTTGTTTCCATTTTAGTAATTATATGCCAGAAGCTTCCAGTAGCAAAACTGTGAATTTTATCCGAAAACCAACTTTTGTAATCCTTTAAAGATAAAAAGCTTGTAACACAGGTCAAATTGTGTGAGCGCAGTCCAGCATTGTTTCGCAAAAGCGAAAAAAATTTCGTGCTTTTTGGCTTCGAATTTTGCGTAGATCAAAGTTGGTGCAAATCTTTGAACATTATCTTGTATAGTTTACTATGCTCCATCGAACGTTGCCCCAGAATCTATCTAGAATATAGCAGAAATATGGCTAATCGCGGTTTTGACTGTTTCGGTGCAAGATTTATGCCAACCTAATAATTGCCGTTAAACCATGGAAAAGAAATCAGCATCAAGTGAATTGCCGGAATAAGTATAGTTATCCATATTCGCAAAAGTTCCGAGATTTTCGTGACAAAAATAGGCACTCATATTAGAATGTACTACCGATTAGGTTAAGCAGCAAGTGCAGTTCAAATACACGGTCCAAAACTTATCACGAGCTTTCGGAACTTTTATTTTATTTTCATGAGGATGAAACGAGTAATATGTAGAAAATGTCAAATACGAAAAAAAGGTCATAGCACGTATTCTCATGATATGAGGAAAATATAACATATGAAAAAAGGTTTTCAAATAATAATTTTGATAGTTACTAATTAATTATTTTATAATTTAATTAATGATCTTTACTGAGAGTTTGCAAAAATTCTCAGCAATCATAAAGTACAATGATCAACAGAATTGCATTTAACTGTTGTTTGATTCAGTGGAAACTGCACTAGAGTTCCTTCGTGTTGTTTTAGATCATCCAGTATTGAAGATGTCTAGTTCCGAAGAATATCAAGCCAATCGTTCATTACGCTCACTGCTTGGCCCATTTGGCCCAATGCAGATTGAATTGAACCTGCACCTATTCCTTGCTGTTTTCCACCAATATAATCTAGCATTTGGTCCACAGCGGACTGCAAACCAGCTCCCATGTCCTGTGGTTTTCCACCGTTCATCATCTGCACCGTTTGGTCTAAGGAAGGTTGAGGCCAACTAGGTCCCATTGGTGATTTTTCACCGTTTGAAAATTCCATTGCTTGGTCCAGAGAAGACTGCAGTGAACCACCTCCTATGCTCTGTGGTTTCCCATCGTTGTTCATCTGCAGCATATGATCTAGGGAAGGTTGAACCAATCCTTGCTGGGTTTGACCAATAGGCTGGAGCCAATTAACTTCCATATCTTGTCGTGCTCCACTAAACCCTAGATCTGCCACTGCAATTGCTACCCAAGTGATGAGTTCCGCCAATACCATTGTGGACATTCACTAAATAGATGAAATGTTTTTGTAGTAATGGGTTTTGCTGCGAAGTAATGGTTTTTCGTGACAAATCAGGCTAGAGAGACACAAAATCAGAAAGCATGTCTTTTGAATCGTCACTTGAAAGAGTATGCGGTATTACCACAATTATCCTATAATGGAATGATAATTGTTAGATGAAAAGTAGTAGGAGACCACGACGCGTGCCAATTATCAACAGCCCATGTTCATTTCCAAATTTAACCAAAGGTCGCTCTCTACCGCGATTGAATTGGAAATCCGGATTAGCCACCCTCTAGGTGTAAATAGTGAACGAACAATTCATAAAAAATGGGATGTGTGTGTGTTCAAATGGTGAAATTTCTTATTGACTTTTGTAGACGATTCTGGATGGTAGGTTTCTAGGTATTCTGTAAAATTGTGGACTGCAAGTTAGACTGAGTGCAACAATTTATTCATAAAAATCATAAAACAATCCTCATTGAGATTGTAAAGATCAACAAATCTATGACGAAACAAAAAATCGTTTAATATGTTAAAATAAATAAAAATCAACAGCCTCAGACAAACTGAAGATGAATTAAAAATATTTGCAACTAGAACTTTTAAAGAAGAGTCTTGGCTTTGGCTTCACGGGCCCCATATCACATCCACTTTATCGAACAGCATATGAATATGTCATTTGTCTATTCTGGCTTCTCTTGATCATTTTGATTCTGAAATTTTTTCTAATTTTGAGGTCCTACTTTATCAAATCATCTTGCCGCTACCAGTTCGTCTTCCATGAGTGTACGCCTATGCTGCATCAATAGTTGACGAAGATGATGACCACTTGTTGGAGCATTGGTGAACATCTGAAATAAGGGCGCTTATACGTGTCCGAATTTCTGTTACTAACAGTGGCAGTGTGAAAAATTTTTCAAGGCAGCATCTAATTAAGATCTAATCCCCTTCCATTGATATCTGGCCTGAAAGTAGAGGGAGGCGGAGAGGGGGCATGCTTTGGCTCCGTCCTCCAATGTGATTTCTGGATGGAGAAAATGGACAAATCCAATGTGCTATCAAGTTACGCCCATCCTAAAAGCTCGGTTCATCTAAGGACTGTAGTCGTCTGCGCCTTCAGGACAGGGCTATCAAAAATCGGGCTTTTCGAGAGTTTTGCACTTTTTACACTTTATATGCACTTTAGCCACCTCTTAATAGATTAATCATTTGTAGTTTTAGTGTTAGTAACCTAATTCATACTTTGGTGGTTAGTGGTTAAGCAGCCCGTCCTATCAATAGGGGGTACTTTTAACAGCTTATCTCAGTGAAGTCTAGCCCCAAATCCACACCACTTCTTCTTGAAAACAGCGTTGTCTATATGAGTCAAAAAAATCTTGCTCTCTTTGAAACAAATCGTCACCGGGGATGAGTTAGCTAGCTTTCACCCGCGGGCTCGCTGACACCTAAAAATAATGGGGTCATCATAATTTTAGACTAAGCAAGATTTAGATTTTATATGTCTATTTGATTATTTCCCGACTTTGCAGCCTCTTCCAGAGGATGCCGCATTTGCAGATGGGTCCAGGACTCTTTCCTTCACCTTCTCTAAAATTTCTATTAATCAATTTCCTACGACTGTGTGTTCAGAGTTTCTTTGTGTTTTTTTATTTATGGCACACCAGCGAGTGTATTTAAACAAAATAAATAAATAAATATCTGTAATCAGAGCTCCGTGAAGACCCCAGGATGACAAAAACATGGGAGGCAAAATTTCAAATGGACGCTACTTTTAAAGTGGAGCGGAACAGAAGTTTGATGTGAAGGACTTTTCACGATTATCACAAGTACAGCGAAAAGAAAAAGAAAGTGTTGGGTACGAAATCTTCGTGACAGGCTTCTCCTGGTCTTCGACTTTCCTCTAAACGTTTTTGCTTCCATATGCCAAAGTGAAAATCTGCAAGCTATGGTTTGATTTGAAGAGTAAGCGAGAAGTGTGTTCCCTTAGAAAAAAACGCTAGAATAAGCTAACTGCCATTTGACTGTTTTCTATGTGTTAGCTATGAAGTGGAGGTCTAGTTCGATCACGCAAAATGCACCAGCTGCTTTTTCTATAGAAACTACCAAGCGATTTCAATGACTAATCTGGATGCATGTTCCTCAGATGTGAAATATATACATCTACAAATACCAACCCTGCAAGGAAATGCTTCGTTGTTCGCAATTTATACGTGGAAGTCTGCATCTCCTGTGCGTTTCAAACGATTTCAGTATGTTATCAATAGTAGAGGGAAAGCACATTGATATTGGACCAGTGCAGGCCTTTGCGGAGCAGAAGTGACCAGTGGCTAGAATCGTCTAGGTATACGCGGATAATACCGCGTTCGATTCATTGGAACACCACTCGAAACACCGAACTTTCGTCCGCAATGTAGAAACAGCCAGATTGCGCAGCGACTGGTATCGCGTGAAGTATGCCCTAGGCCTAAGGCTCGGAGCCTGACATTTGCTGACTATTCTGGACCAAAGCAGGGCACGGCGGCTAACATTACTGTCGGGCGCAATCAATGCGGATCGCCAGGGTAGTCGCAATTTGTCGCTATATGTCGTGACAACCATAAGAGGTTTACTATGGGCCTTAGTGGAAATACGAAATAGACGCGCATAGTAAAAGCACCGATGAGTACGAGATAGTATGAGTCATCAAGCTCAAAAAATGAACGAGTTCAAACTATAATAGATGCGCGAGAGGATACTCTAAAGCAACATGAGTCAAATAAACAGAAATTAGTATACTGAGCAATAGCACAACAAATTAGCTATATGAAAACCTTAGCCCTTACAGACGCATTAATACTAAATGTGTTGACAACATTCTTTAAAAGGTTTACGATGTCGCGACGTTGGGGTATAGTGGGAAGAGTACACAAGGTGTTCCAAAAAATATGAGCACTGTTTGATAGTTAAAAACCCCCTTGCTTTCATGTCTTTCGCGGAGCTTGAGATATCATTCTGTAGAGCGAGGTTCAACTTGAGTTTACAGTATAAAGCGGATCACAAATTGCTCTTTACCACTGTGGGATTACGGTATGGACTTTCAGCGTACAGTACCATAGTGGAATAGGCCTTTTGATAAAAAATTTCCAAAAAAAGAAAAACTGGAATTTTTTGTAGCAAGTTTTCAGGCATACTGATTTCATTATACCACTTTCGGTACTTTTCCGTTATCCGGACCCATTTTTCGAAGATTTTGTTTTTATCTTTGTACTATATTTTGTTCCAGCTTCACAGGGAGGAGCGTCAACCCTCTGCCACATGTCAAAATAATTTAACATGTCATCTACATGTTTAACAGGTTTTACCAAGAGTTTGTGTTACCCTACCTAGCAATGTAAGTCCAATCTGTTATTCAGTTGATTTTGACCTCATTTCGACCAAACAGTTTGAAAGTGGACATTTTCATGATGATAATGACATACTATCATCGACGACAGGCTAGCCTCCGGATAGAGAAGTGCGGTAGGATTCCGCTATTTAAAGGCAGCGTCCAGGCAGATCTGGACCTATGGAGCTTTTACGTGTTCAAGATGGAAAACCTTTGCTTTGAAATTTTATGACCTTTCCTAATGATGGTTTTGGCGCCGGGCCCCCCAAAAAAGTACTTTTGGGGCCCTAACTAAGGCACTGCCCAAGCGGCAGCTGAGGTAGTGCTCTAATGGCTGAGATATTCCCCTCGAAACTGGCCCCCGCGAACGTATTCGCATGGATTTATGGCAGTTTCGCGCCAGGATCCACGCTTTGCACCATGATTCCATGCGAAACACGGTCGCGGGGTCCAGTTTCGAGGGAAATATCTCGGCCATTACAGCACTAGCTGAGCTGCCGCTTGGGCAGTGCCTTAGTTAGGGGCCCAAAAGTACTTTTGACGTAAAAGCCCCATAGATCTAGATCTGCCTGGACCAGAGGTGCGATAGGTGGAGCCGGGCCCCCCAAAAGTGAAGGTGGTTCCAGCTACCACTGACTGGCCAAAAGTGAAGGTGGTAGTGCCGGACACTCACCTCCCAAAAACGTCGACGGGGGGAGGGGTAACGTCGACTGAGCCTATCCTTCCAGGTCGTTGCCGCCAGTGCGCGGAATATAAGCAAAACAAACGCAAAAAAGATCGTTGAAGGCATATTTTTAGGAACACGGCGGCATATTTATTTAAAATAAACGTGTTTAGTAAATGGTGTATTTGGAAGTAAAAGATAGCGGGACTGTACGGATTTTATTAAGTAAATTTTGTCATAACGTACTACAAACAAAGTAGGTCGATCCAGGGAATAACCGCCGAGAACCAGAATTTTGAATAATAAAATAACGATAAATTATGCGAAATTTCCATTTTCATAAATCTTGCGGTTGAAGATGTCAGCAATTGCGACTTCATAGGTTTTGAAGGGCAAGTGTTGTTCTACCAGACAGTGAAAGAATCAGGTCGATCTGAGCAGTGGCCGCCGAGAACGAGAATTTTGAAAAATTAAGCGATTTTAGGTTACTTAGTGACAGCTGACGTTTAGACTCCTATAAATCTGGAATGTGAAGGAGTGCAATGTTGGGACTTCATAGGTTTTGTAGAGTAAGGATTGCTGTATCGGACCATGTCTTAGCCGTACCGATCCAATAAGATACCGCCGAGATTCAGGCTTTCAAAAAAACAGGTGAAAAACCGCTTTTTGAAATTCAACAGCGCATAACTTCTCCAGAATTGCATAAATCATGTTGCGACTTCATAGGTTGGATTCTCCTCATCAAGAGCTTTCAGATGATATATAATATGTGGGGGTTTTGCGCCTCTCACAGCATATGCCCGGGGGTGGAGACTTTTCACCCCAAAGTCTCCACTGGCGGTCTCCGGCCAGTACATTAAATGGGCGAGGTGGAGACTTTGGGGTGAAAAGTCTCCACCCTGGGTTAGAGCCGCAAAAATCATTGAACCCCCCAATCTTGAATCTTCAACCAGCAGATTTATAACAATGGAATCATCGCATGATTTTATTTTATCATTCGAAATTCTGGCTCTCGGCGGTTATTTCCTGGATCGACTTACTACATAGATATATGCTCCCAATACTTTCTTTTACCTTCCTTTTGCTTATTTTCCTTCTTTTGAGCTTCAACAAAAAATTTTTTTCAAACCCAAAATTGAAGGTGGTCACCCCGTACCAGCTCAAAAGTGAAGGTAGGCGGAGACTCGGCTCCGACTATCGCACCTATGGCCTGGACGCTGCCTTTAAGAGGCAAAATAAGCAGCGCAAGGTACTTCAAGCTATCATTTACAGTCTTTTCGGCTAAAATCGCCTGACGAAAAAGGTTTGAAAAGAAATTCACTTTCTAATCACTGCTGAAAGGAAGCAGGATGTCCTAGAATAAGTTTATGATTGTTTTACGCTCACGTAAAACACTTAAACAGCTTCAAAATGATTACGAATGCTCTTTTATCTCACCGGAAATGATTTCGAGGAAAAAAACATGTCAAAATGGACCAAAACGTGTCAATTTTTTTGTGACGCGTGACAAGGGGGCAGTCCTCGTAAATTCTATGGAAAATTATTTTTACACTGTGTAATTTGAGAGCCTTTTGAAAAAATGGGTCCGGATAATGGCATAGTACCCAACATTCTTCCGTTTTTCGAGCTTATTAGAATGAACTATCACACTTCTGACGAACATTGAAGAAACATTGTTATCCTAAGATGAAATAACTTATGAAAGAAGCGCTCTAGTGATGTGCAAATTTCATATTTAGAATGGACTTCGATTAGTCCAGTGCAAGAGTTTCTGGCTTGTTTGGTTCTTCTTCTGAGGCAAAAATCGCTTTCAAATTTCTAAAATCCTTCTTGAAGTTACGGTACACAGCAATGAAGAGCGATTAATGATTTGCTTCACACTGTGAATCCAATAAAACAATAGCTGATCACTCTCTACAGAATGGTAACTCAAGTTCGCGAAAGACATGAAAGCAGGTTTTTAACGATCAAGCAATGTTCATATCCTTTTGGGACACTTTGTATAAGTCACAACTGATGATAATTACTATGAAGATTTCGTGCATACTCCAAAGATGTCATCTAAGTGGACCTTATGCCTATTACTATTCTAATGGAGCTGTATTTGACAAATACAATTGTAGTGCTCCACCAAAGTACATATGAGTTAGTCCTTGAATCAGTACACGCTATCTTACTTTCATCTATGCAGAGTATGCGCAGCAGATGTTTGGATAAATCTTCTCACTCCAACAAACGATTGTGCACTTTTCCGTGGTCCTAGTTCTGCCTTCCGTAATTCTGCTGTACAATACCTACCGAAAAGGAGAGACTGAGCTCAGATTAAACGCCCAGTCTGCTTCAGATTATGATATCCAGCTTAAACTGGCAAGCTCACTGCTTCGCAAATCATATGTTTTTCTGGAAAATTATGCTGTTTCAGATGTCACTACAGTAGGGCCCACCGATGGATTATTGTCGTTATGGCAGCTTTCGAGCAGATATGAGTGAAAACGCGCTAGTTTACAGGTGCCACCCAGACATATTCCTCAAGCACCATCGCACAATTTTTTATTTGGAACAAGGAAAGCGCTTCAAAAGTTTATGTCTCACAAGTTCGGGACAATAAGAGTGATTAGCATACCTGCTCGGATGGAGGGGCAATAGGTTGTACTTCAGCAATCGTTTGCGCCTGTACAGTTTCAGTCGCAATCTGTTTCTCCTGATCATCGCATGGCTCCTCTTTGATCAACTAAATCTATCATTCTCTATTGTAAAATAATGTTTTGAAATTCATCTATTCACCGTTTCTGGGACTGAAGGCTTCTCTTCAATTACAGGAGAGGAAGATTCAAAAATATCATCATCCGGTTCAGCTTTGATCAGTATGATATCTTTCTCTTGAGGTGCTTTTTCAGGTAGAGTCTTTGCGTCAGTTACGGTCAACTCTAAACATTCAGAGCTATGCTCTTATTTTCAAATGTAAGATGAAATATTGACAAAATATAGCCAACCACGTTTTTTATGACACTTCTCCTTATGCTCAGTAAATCTACGTTCTGTTCTGAAGTACTTCCGGCAGGTAACACATCGAAAGCTTTGCTGCCTGAATTTTCCCATTTCTCTATTTCCAGATATGAAAATAGTCGAACTCCTACTCTACGAAATGTGGACGTCCTGACGTATTGCTAATGTCAGTCAATTGCACTTTCTCGGGAAGTCCATGAAAACAACGCAAATGTGTCCTGCAAAATGATTTTTGCTTATAAGGGAATCTGCAGAATTTGGTCTTGTCATTTCGAACAAGCTGTATATACTCGCACTCGCCTTTAGACGCTGATTATGAATATATGTTCATTGTGGATGAGCGATTGTCTGGAAGGAATGAGCGTTTGAAAGTGCGGATTTATCAGTACTCTGTGACGCATAATCTGCGGAACCTTTCAAAAGCATTTATTTCGGTGTTCTTAATAAGCGTGCTTCCTCCTCCGTATTTGCAATACTCATAAGCGCTGTGTTCACGCGCCTAGGCAACTTTTCAACGATTCCTTCTACAATGGCATTTGAATTGATTTCGTATCCAAATGCTCATACCTCCTTTGAGATAGCCGCTTAGCAGATAATGCATATCGCTCAGTTCGTAAAAAATCTATAAAATCGATATTGGTCGATGATGAAAAGTAGCCTACGCGCCCGCCGCATCCAAGTGTATGTGTGCAAAGTCTGGTCCGGATCGATTCGTAAAATAAAAATTTAAATTCGAAACATACGTACGGAAACACCCACAAACAAACAACATTCAGCTTTGTATATAAGGTTTGAGATCAGCATTAACACAAATCTCAGCAATGTACCGCTGGTTTGAAATGGCCGGATTATGCCAGAGGTATAGACTATTTCTTTATTAGTTTCTGTCCTAAATGTGCTCATGGATATTCGAGAAAAGAAAGAATATACCTCCATTCGTCATTGCTCTCCAGAACCATTCCACAACCCTCTATGGGACATGGCGATACATCTCTAGAAGTGGGTGTTGAACCTAAACTGTATTTTTATGATCTACTCAAAAATGTGAGGAGGGATTATGCCATAAAGTATTATGTTGTGGATTTCAATACCACAATAGTCCGTACTTCATTTGCCTTACCTTCTCGTATTACCTTTCATGATTGAAAAAATGCGATAGTATTTGATTCCTTACGTTGCACTAGTCTTGACCTTTGGTAGTGATTGAACGTCAATCGCACAGGCTCTTCCTTTGTGCATGGAGCAGGGTTGTATGGTGTGGTAAACAGCCTTATTTTGCCTTGTGTTTGTTTGGTGGAATATCAAAATTCTAACACACCTGCATACTTCGCTCAAAGTCGAAATGTTGACTTTTCTTGAAGCATCACTAGGGTTTGGCGTGGCCATTTTTGCACTCGTAATAGCAGCTGCAATCACATCTGTGTCAGAATCAAGTGGTAGTGACTAAAAGTATAGAGTGATTTAAAACTAAAATGGGTTTGGTTATCAGCGAATTGGTCTGTCTACACAGCTCAAGTATACCAGTATTTGTTTTGGTTTTCAAAAAGACATCCTGTTCTCATTGGAAGCCTTGAAAAGATTTGATTCAAAATTCAGAAAAAGCCTAATAACAATGGCGAAGTGGGTAATTGAATTAAGTGGATCAAGCGAACATCCATTTCGCTATCGGTCAGTTCAATGATTTGGCCAATATTGAAGTAGGTCATATAAATCGAACGTTGAATGGGACCACATGGATCAAGGCGCTTGCTACGAAGCAGAGACAGATAGACATTGACCATGAAGTTCTTTTTTAGGATTGTTCTTAAAACGAAAATTTGAGCATGAGCAGAACATATATGCAGAGTATCGAACTTTTCGCAACTGTCTGAACACCCATCTTGCTTTGCTCCAACAAATGATACGTCTCATATGTCTTTATATAGGCGATGTTACCCCGCATCGGTGGTGGATGTTCGCAAGCTGAAGCTGCACGCGCGCGCCGCCTGCGGCGGAAATGATACGCGAGCGTGATTGTTGAGCTGTCTTCAGACTTGTGACTGCTATGGGTTCACCTTGCTCTTCTCATGGTTACGTATTCCTTTAGGCGACTACATTTGCTTGCGTGAGTTTATGTCTAATTACCGTTTACACTCTAGCAATTTGACATGCTTAGTTGTTTAGATGATACAATTCTCGTTAAATGATGCAACGCCGCCACGGGTTAAATTTTTGTTTTGATTACTTGTCATGGTCCTGGAGCTTGAACAATGATAAGGCTTGCGTAGAATTCGCACTCGAGTTGTGATATGCCGTTGTAGTATCTTTCGATGTGTCCTTTCGACTGCTGTCTACAAGCACATCGATTGAGTAAATCTTTGGTTGTGGTACACTTCATATCACATCGAGAGGGGGACAAATTTAGTCTAGTGGAAAGGACATTGGAAGTTTCGTTGATCACTATCCTAGCCATGCATGAGCTTCCGCGCTCGGGCATTGTTTCCGCCGCCGCAGCTTTCCGCGCAGCTTCAGCTCTTGAGTACCCACGACCGATGCGGGGTGACATCGCCTATATCTTTTCTGCTGCGACAACTTCAGAAACATGCATCAAAATTTGCATCATTCAATACATGATCTTTTTACTCGAGCTTAAGGAGGCTCAAAAACATCAAGATGTCCTATTATGTTGTTTCATCAAGTTATGAAGTCGTTGTACATCTCTTCGCAGGATTCTTACATCTGGAATGATATCCACGAAAGTCCATAATGGAGGAAAATGGACTTTCAAGCCCCATTTTATTCGTTCGCGATGAAGAGTGGTCGGAAACTACTTTCGCTCGCGTTATCCAAAAATTTTCATCCCATCGCAACCACGAGGCAAAGCGGTGAAATGAAAATGATTCAACCCTACCTGAGCTCTCGCTTGCGAAATGATGGCGTCAAAAGTCCATTTAGAATGGGGCAAAGTGGGATTTACCTCCATTTTAAATGGCCTTGAAAGCCCATTTTACTTCCAGCAGCACGGTGAGCTGGGACTAAGTCCATTTTTGACCTTTTTGCACATTTTTAGTTGCGATTTTTTTAGAATGTGTTATTTGGCCTATTTTAAGGTAATATGTGAGTGGAGAAAGTTTCACGTCTTTTGCGAAGCCCAAAAAAGTGGTTTTTTTCAAACAGCCCTGTAATGGTCTGAAAATCAGAGGAAATATTCTTTGTGACCGTAAATTCACTACCAAATGTAAAGGCTTAGGAATCTCTCAAAATATCCACCTAAAAATCATAAAAAGTATTCAGTCAAATGATTAGATGAAAAGGAAAAGCTTCTTCTCCTAAAAATGCTTAAGATATGTGGTTTTGATTTAGCTGACTAAATCATAACCTTCTTTTGATTCAATTCATAAAAATCTACAGGCCACATTTTGAACCAATCAAAGCGAGAGCAAATTTTCAGCAAGTTTCAATGAATATGTCTGCATAATGCTCATTTCAGCAAGTTTATTTCCACCATTCTGCATCAACAAGAAACAGAAATTTTCTTCTATCTCAAAAATCTATTGAGGCAAAGCCCTAGTTAGCGGATTTGTCAAAAGTATACCCAGGGTCAAGCAAGGGGTGTGGCACACGATCGCTGGTTACGACCCCCCCCCCCTGATTGCTGTCTTAATAAGACCCCCCCCTGGACTATACCCTTAAGATAGCATTACTTGGAGGCCCTGTCAAACATAATGGGCAACATATCCATAATGAGCATGTCAATTAACCCCTGTAGACAAAGTTTGAGCGAATTCTGAAGATTCAAGATACTAGGCTACCTAAGTGAAATGGTCAAAATCCAACATGGTTAACTTTGTTTCAAAGGTGAGTTAGCTATCCGTTTTCGCACTCAAGACAAAGCACTACTCCTTCTTTGTCCACCTCAGGAATCCCGCTTCAGAAGACCTCCAAACTGTGGAATTAGAAGCCAAGCAAAATCTCGTTTTTGCCATTTTTCGCTTTTGATCGCTGTGCTTTCACCAAATATTACTCAGAGCTAAGAAGACGAATCAGGCTCAAAACATCCCTATGGAATCTACGAGGTTTAGGCTATTGATTCATATAAATACTGTCCGCTAAAAATGTTTTTTTGGTATAGTTAATGGCCTGCGGCACCCCCCTCAAAGCCTGCGGCTGCCGCAGGCTTTGAGGGGGGGTGCCGCAGGCCATTAACTATATCAAAAAAACATTTTTAGCGGACAATATTTATATGAATCAATAGCCTAAACCTCGTAGATTCCATAGGGATGTTTTGAGCCTGATTCGTCTTCTTAGCTCTGAGTAATATTTGGTGAAAGCACAGCGATCAAAAGCGAAAAATGGCAAAAACGAGATTTTGCTTGGCTTCTAATTCCACAGTTTGGAGGTCTTCTGAAGCGGGATTCCTGAGGTGGACAAAGAGGGAGTAGTGCTTTGTACTGAGTGCAAGAAGAGGTAGCTTACTTACCGTTAAGATGAAGTTAATCATGTTTTAAATTAATGCTTTATACAAGGTTGTTTACGGCTCGGAGACCTCAGAGTTCGCTGAAACTTGGCGCATAGGGGTTATTCGACACGCGGATTACGACAATTATGCTTGATTAGAGATACGGTAGGTTACGGAAGGCATACGGTATCTGCAAGTTTGTGTCGTTGAACTTGAATTTTGCAGGATTTCAACAGCGCTTTCATCAAGTCAATTTAGTCACACAGCTTGTACAAGTGCTTTTGACCTTGGGTCGATACAACCCCCCCCCCCTACCTATCCCCCCTAACGACCCCCCCCCCCTGCGGCGTGCCGCACCCCCCGCTTTACCCTGAGTATACCTAACTCTGAAAGGTCACATCTCTTTCGCCTCAGAACTGAAAGAGCCTGAGCAAATTCTCACAAACACAACACGTCTTTTATCATTTCAAAAAACCATACTTCGCCATCAAAATCATCAGGAACCCAGAAACCTCAAATTTTCCTAATGTTTCGAGACTGCAGTTTCTTTCCTCTAACCTTTTATCCACACATCGTGAATAAACTCTTACAAGCGAGGGATGTCAATTCGCATTCGTTGGCAACAAGATATATATATAAAGGTCATATCAGATTGGCACGCTGCGCTTGAAACATTCAATGTCTGCCGAATTCTTTTAGAGGGATGACCACACTTACCCCACCTGCAAAATGGGGGCGTCCATAACAAGATTTGAACTTGGTCCGTTTCTTTCGAAGTTTTACGCTCCCCGCTCTACAATTGTACCCCCTTAAGATTTTCTCTGTTCTGTTGGAATTCAGATTGCCGGCTTTCTATCAAAAATGACCTTTCGTTTTAATATCAGTCAGAAAAATCAACTTCACTTTCATGGAAATGGACATGAAATAACCAGTAATTTGTTTTATTAATAAAGGCGTTACATACAATGAGTTTCATAAATTGTCTGCTCTGTGTCTGCTAACCCGTACAGAACAGAAACGAATTCTTGCTGTGAGTTGCGCATGAACATATGTAAAATTTTTCCGTGACTCGGAAGATGAGAAGGAATATTATAGAAATATGGATCTCATTGTGCGCGAATCTATTGAAGAATTGGTAGACGACGCGTAACCTATTCCCCGCGTCTATCGCGATCGGGCATGCCCCTTCGACGTATTTGACGACGAACAATTCAGAAGAAGATACCGCTTTACACGAGCGGGATTCTTCTCGGTCGTCGAAAAAGAGAGAAGAGCATTGAGAGAGCAATTGAGACGAGAGCATTTTGGAATACATACAAAGGCAAATCAACATTCGAAAAAATTCCACAATGTCGACAGAAAAAAAGGAAAATAAGAAAAGTGAACAATGACCTCATCACTAATCGTTCAAAAAAGTTTCAAATATTCTCTCAGTGGTAAAATTTCCCTTTTCAAACTAGTCAAAAACCAAAAGGGCGGGGTCGAACGCAGGATCGGTATCAAGTTCTGAAAAGGAATTCTCAATATAAAAGCCATATTAGAGAAAACTTGCAGCAAATGAATTTCGTTAGATTCGACAATCCTACATGCGACCTAGATACGACTCTTTTCAATTTTTTTGGCGATAAAACATTATGAGAAAATTCACAGACTACAAAACAAGACCAAGTTTTGCACAGATACAGTGGGGAATTCCTATTATACAGCTAAATTATAAAGGCGATATAATTCGCATTACAAAAAGATTCAAAAACTATTGTTGGTCACCGTTGGTAGAAATATCCGTTTTTTTGATTGTGTGAGGGCAAGGCTCATAAATCAAGAATTCCAAGCTCATCGGTAATTCAACCTAGTTAATTGCAATTTGTGGCTAGGGAGGACGCGCTAGCGTTTCCGTGGTTAACGAATTTTGAATGTAAGCGCCCCTACACAATAGCGATACATGATTGGCAAAGGCTGTATAAGTACGAAGTTCTCAAAGAAAACTCGGTAATGACTAGAGATTTCAGAATTTGCAGTAATTGGCAAAGTTATAGCTAGTGTCGACCAAAGTTAGCCGTAAACTGCGGAGCAGGCGCGAATCGGCGTTTGAGAGCGATTTATTGAACCGAGTATCACGCAGTGGCGATCGTAGGATTTCGTCCGGTGAGTGGCGCGGGAAAATTTTTTTTCAAATTCAACTTTCAAATTTTCAAATCAATTATTTTGAAAAATTTTCAATTCCAAATTTAATTTTCAATTTTTTGAAATCCCTCCCTCCTCCGTAGCACCCCACCCTTTCGGACCGCCACAGGTACAGGGTTTGACTGGGTGGTCCCCGCAATGTACGTCCAGCCCGTGCCCTCAAGACCGAAAATGAAAACAAAGAAAAATTCATGAAATAGTATAATTTAGAACAGAAATGTGATGAGAGCTACATGCAGATTGGCGTCGAATAAAAGCGAGGCGAAGCGAATGAGGACGCTAAAAGGCGGTGACATGTCAAGAAACACAGTTTGAACATATTGAAATATGCTTCTAACCTGCTCATTTGTCTGTTGAGTTACATGTTAAAACATGTATCTCTACATGAACAGTGAGCATGTTAGAAAGTAGTCACTACCTAATTGTAAGAGCACTGACACTGAATGAAATGGAATGCCGCGGATGCATACCTTATCGCACCGCATGGACTAAGTCCATTTTATTCGCACGAAAAGCCCATTTCGCGGGGACTTTCGTGGATATCATTCCTGGTTTCTTCTACGACAAATTGCTTTGAATCCACATTTATGTACCGCTTCAGACTCGTATAGACACATAATGCATATATTCCTTTGTAGTTGAATCAGCGAAGCTCCTTGCAATGTTGAGGAAGGAAGTACTGGAATGATATCCACGAAAGTCCATAATGGAGGAAAATGGACTTTTAAGCCCCATTTTATTCGTTTGCGGTGGAGAGTGGTCGGAATCTGCTTTCACTCGCGTTATCCAAAAATTTTCATCCCATCGCAACCACGAGGCAAAGCGGTAAAATGAAAATGATTTAACCCTGCCTGAGCTCTCGCTTGCAAATGATGACGTCAAAAGTTCATTTAGAATGGGGCAAAATGGGATTTACCTCCATTTTAAATGGACTTGAAAGCCCATTTTACTCCCAGCAGCAAGGTGAGTTGGGACTAAGCCCATTTTTGACCTTTTTGCATATTTTTGATTGCGATTTTTTGGGAATGTGTTCCTCAACCTATCCTAAGGCAATAGGTGTGTGGAAAAAGTTTCATGTCTTTTATGAAGTCTGAAATAAGTGTTTATTTCTAAACTCGTAGAAACGCTATAAAAATATAGAAAAAGATTAAATTCACCCAAATATTCGCTAACAAACCCAAATGCTTCTTAATATCAGGTCAATCAGAAAATTCTTATGTAAAACAAATAAAGTTTGTTAACTCGAAAACTGTTGAAACTGTTAACTGTTAACCGAACCTCAGAGACGGCATTTTAAACGCAATTTTGAGTTTGGTCCGCAAGAATTACTGAAGTGCCGCTAGCTAGCTAGAGAAATTCTGTGAAAAATTTCTTACTAGATTAGTCCATACATTCGACTGCTTAGAGTTATAAATATTAGTGCTGAAAGACAAAGAAAAGCTAATATAGAGCACTTGCGAAGTTATCTTTTGGGATTCAAAGTTTTTGCGACTTGAAAAACCTTTTGAGTTGTAGTGTAGTACAAGGTTTCTTGTAAGGAGCATTTTGTTTCACAGATTGCAGTGCAACTCCAGCCAAAGTTTGCTTTTTGCGGAAATCTCCACATACGAATTCGATTCAATGCTGATTCGTAGAAGTTTTGAAGCGAAGGCCCGGATATTACATGAAATTTAGTCTTGGAAGTGATTTAGATGCATAGTCATCGATAACGAATGGCATTCTGTTAGGTGTAACGAAGTGGGAAAGAATAGAATAGCCACTTGAGTGACATTGTAATGTTAGGTCAGCCTAGTTATTAGGTCGTTTCATAAGTTCGTAGACTTTTTATTTTTGTCGCCGTTTTTCGATGAAGCGGTTCGTTTACGGCAAAGTACCTATACCATTGAAAAGAGAAAATCTTGCTCTACAAGAACTGTTGTTCGTTTTTGGAGCAAACTTGAATCCCCTTCTTTTACGACTTATCAAAGCAAAATTTTTTGAGAGGCAAAAATTGGCGATTGCGGCAACTGCAACTTTCGATCCGTATACGGAGCCACAAGTGGGAATTTTTCGTCTGAAGTTGTTATGAGTGATGAGAAACAACTGTTTGTGGTACTACGGTGCATATAAAAGTAGTCTCCATATCCAAAGAGAGGCTATAAAGAAAGATTAAGCGCACGTTTACCATGTGTGTAGATGTTTTGCGTTTGGCACAATTTTAAAAAGTTCCCACGTCAAAAATTTTTTTTGAGAAAGCGTAAAATGTTGGTCAGAGCTTGTACTCATACATCTACACCACTTAGAAGAACGTATCCATTCCTCAAGTTCCGATAGGAGGACCGACACATTGTGTCGCTGAACAACGCGCCAAACTCAAGCGGCAGCAGTCAAAGACAACAAAACCATTGGGACCTTGTTCAAACGGTTCTATACATATTGGCATGCTGCAAATTTGTCAGTGTTTCAGTCTTGCTTGCTACTATCCATCCCGCCTACCTATGACAGAAACATCTTGCGGAATACGGACCAAATGCGGAAAGTGCAGTTGCCGCAATCGCCAATTTTTGCCTCTCAAAAAATTTTGCTTTGATAAGTCGTAAAAGAAGGGGATTCAAGTTTGCTCCAAAAACGAACAACAGTTCTTGTAGAGCAAGATTTTCTCTTTTCAATGGTATAGGTACTTTGCCGTAAACGAACCGCTTCATCGAAAAACGGCGACAAAAATAAAAAGTCTACGAACTTATGAAACGACCTAATAGAATCGACCACTTGGTGGAAATGAGTTTGCAAGAGTGAGCAAACAGGTGGAGACAAGTTGGAAAAAGGTTAGTTGAAGCATTTTTGTATGGAATGAATGTATTCGCGAATGCGATATCTTATCGCATCGCATGGACTAAGTCCATTTTATTCGCACGAAAAGCCCATTTCGCGGGGACTTTCGTGGATATCATTCCTGGTTGATGCGCTTGCATGCATACATACATTACCCTGCTGTTATATATTGTTACCTTTTTCCTATTCACAAACGTCAATCAGGTTCGATCCCCGAAATTCTGCGATGTTTACATTCATATAAGCAAAAATAAAGTGGCAGGAAATGTTCCGCTTTCCTTGGGAAGGATTTTGCAAGATTTTTCCTGCTAAAGGGGAGTGCTGGACTTGTAAAGGTGCCCTCTATCCCTACTCATATAAACTTGGAAGGAAATGCAGGAAATACTCACGTATATGACTGTATTCTATGTGTGCAATGAGGTCATCATGGTTTTGATAAGAAAACCCGCAAAATCCACAAGTTGTTTTGGTTAGCAAGCATAGCGACATCTGTAAAGCAAGACCGGCCTTAAATCTTCACTGCGAGGAATTCCGGGGGCAAAATTAATACGCTATGTGGAGCTGGATGCCGATGGTTCTCTGCAAACCAAGAAAAGTGAAATAACTTTTCTAAACAGATTTCTCATTCAAATTATAATACGTGGCATTTAGGTCTTGTTTTGACGTGTACTAGTATTTGACCTGTTGGTCAGGTTTGTGCCAATGCTTCATGTATAAACAGGTGAAAGACAACCTCCTGTCCATAGCGTTCCATACCTCCTTTGTATCTGTTAAATATCCTACGCTTCTCTGCAAGCGCAGTTTGAAATAAATTAGGATAAAGACAAGGTAGAGATTAAATGATGCAAAGTCTTGTTTCCAGAATAATTACTCACAAGTATTTGAATATGGAAAGTCAGATAGTCCCAAAAAATTTGAGGGTAAACTTGAAACTCATCTTTGATCTAAACAAACTCTCCATTCTAAATGAAGGTCGTAGTATAATACATTATGCAATGTAAACCACGAGGGTGTTAACCCTGGTAAGATAACGCTTGAATTGTACCACCTTTACTTGCTTTGCTGCTGGTATAGTATAACAACAGCAGTAAAGTAGTATGAAAGGAGCTATCAGAGGTTGGCACCTGTCTTGCTGTTTGCTTCATGAGCAGAATTGAAAAGCCAACCAATTCAAAAATGTCTTTAGCAAAAAATGTTGAACTACGATCTTTCCGCATAGTCTCCAGCGCCTTTCTGATTTGATTTGTCATAACACGTCACGCACCCTGCAAATCTCTCCTCCCATTGCTTTGCTGCCTGAGAAAAAAAGCTGCCAGTGTGTCGCATGCGGCGGTGGTCTTGTGTGGAAAGTATACTTGGGTAATTCGAAAAATTTTCATTGAATGAATGAATATCGAATAAATTCGAAAACGAAAAATTTCGAATAAACGAATATCGAATAAATTTGAAAGTAAGAAATCTCGAATAAACGGTTATCGAATATTCGAGGTCCAAAAATTCTCGAATGAATGAATTTCGAATAAATTCGGAAAATTAAAAATATCGAATGAATGAATATCGAATATATTCGAACATTGGAAGTCGAATTTCGAATAAATATTCGAATGATTTATCGAATAACTAGAGCAACCCTATCTCAAACTTGCCGACACATCTGGCTAAAGCCGATCCATTCATAATCAGCACCCTTGTATCCTCTATACCAACTCCTAGCTCAAAATTTTCCAAAAATCGCTGAAATCAATAAAATAAACTTCGGTTCTAATCAACATCCTCACTTGCTCCCCTGTACCAACTCCCAACCTCGTAGCTCGAGATTTTTTAAAAATCGACAAAATCGATGAAGTAAACCTTTATTCATAATCAGCATCCTCATTTACCCCCCTCCCCCTTGTACCAACTTCAAACCTCGTAGATCGAGATTTTCCAAAAAATTTTTCCAAAAATCGAAAAAAATCGATAAAGTAGATCTTTATTCATAATCAGCGCCCTCACCCCCGTGTACCAACTCCCAGTCCCGCAGCTCAAACTTCTCCAGAAATCGATAAAATCGATAAAGTAAATTTGTGTTCATAATCAGCACCCTCACTTACCCCCTTGTACCAACTCCCAGCCCGCAGCCCAAACTTCTCCAAAAATCGATGAAGTTAATCGGTTGGCAACTAGTCTACACATCAGCAAGAAGTCATATTTTACCCATCATTGGACGATCTAAAAAAGCTGTCGATATAAATTTTGATCAAAACTTATTCTAGAAGTACAGAATGCAGGGCATTTATCTTTTTAGTAAGTTGCACAAGCTAAACATTTGCGGTGAGCTGGCGTTATATTTGAAAACATCTCGTAACTGGCAAATTGCGTACGGCTAAACCTTCTAACCCTCCACTACAACAGCGATTCCTTTACTCAAATTCACCAATTCGTAAAAAATTCCTAAGGTAGCGAATAGAGGCAGTTGCGCAATATAGCTTATGCAAGCAAGACTGCTCACTAGTGTGGACTTTGCGTACCACAAGCATGAGCAATGCAAAGAAAAAAAAACAGGCACTTCAAAACACTTTCAATATATAAACTCGGAACATGAGCTTGAATTTGATAGCTCCTTTGCTAATTTGGTGCCAATAGCAGTGCACAATCTCACTGATCGAAAAGCATCAATTAAAATCCACATATGATTTTTTTTTACTGTCGCAAGCAGTCGAAAGAATGCGACTCTCCATATAATTCAGAGGTCATAACCAGGGTTGAGCAAGAGGTCAGGCACAAGTCCTTCAAAACGACCCCCCCCCCGCTGTGAAAGCTCCTAAACGACCCTCCGCTTTACCTCCACGTCCTCAGGGGTATTTTGAAGAAGACCAGCCTTCACTGCAGGTTTCTATTTTTTGCAAGTCTGTAAGCCCGATTTTCTGCGATTGCACAACCACACACAACTTGACGGCAAGTTTTAGATCTGGATAGTCCTCTTTTCAGAGCTATAATTTTCACAGGGGTGGAGTGTTTAGCTCCAAATTTACAATATAGCAAGAAGAGGCTTTGCGCTCTACTCATATCAAAAAAGGGGCGATTTTTGAATTTTGAAGGCAAGTTAAGAGGGTCAGGCGCAACCCCTCAAAAGCTCAGGCTTCCTGACCTTTTGAGGGGTTGTGCCTGACCCAATTAACTTTATTTCCGAAAAAGCTCTTCTACCCAAGTTTTATGTGATTTGCTAGCTCAACCCTCGAAGATTCCACAGTCAGTATTTGAGCTTGATTCGACTTGTTTCGCCCTTGTGCTAATCCGAGGAGTTGAAGCACTTAACTGAAAAACGCGTCGGTTGGAATTTTGGCAGCACTTCTTACTTCACTGTTTGAAAGCGATATGAAGCCCGATTTGTAGCATAGACTTGTAGAGAACATTACTTTGTTATGAGTATACAAATGCTGACTTTTCTCGCTTCTGAAACCAAGTTGATCACGTTTGAAAATCACGCTTTTTAGACGTTGAGAAACACTAGAAACTGCAGTAGGTAATGGTTTGTAGAGCGCATAGAGATAATTTGACATGCTGATTATGGAAATGATACCCATTTCACACAGCAAGCTTCCTTGTCGACCTCATATGTCAAGGTAAAGGAGTTGAAGATTTGAATTTTGGCTGAAACTTCGATTGTGGAAACTATCAGTATGCTGTTTATGACCGTCATTGCTTCGTGTAATCGCGATATCCACCGGACTAGCGCATTTCCTCTTCACCTTCGCAGTAACTCCCCAACTTAACAAATTCGATTCTTAATTACGACCCCCCCCCTCAGTCTTACCCTCAATACCATCCCCCAGGTCGGGCGCGCCTGACCCCACGCTCAACCGTGGTCATAACGGTTGCAAAAGAAGCATTGCCGAGTTTCGCGGAAAAAAAACGCGGACGAAGTGAGCTTGATACTCAGCTCTGACTACGGAGTCATTCGAATATGAATTCGAATAAACATTCGAATAAAACATTCGAATAAAATCTATTCGAAACCCCGTTTTCTGATTATTCGAGGATTCGAATAATATTCGAATCTTCGTTTTTTGATTATTCGAGTTTTCGAATTTTATTCGAAACCCTGTTTTTTGATTATTCGAGTTCCAAATTTTATTCGAAACCCCGTTTTCTCAATTATTCGAGTTTCGAATATTATTCGAAAATGGAAGAACTCCGAATATCGAATTTCGAATATATTCGAATGTATTATTCGAATGATCGAATTTCTATTCGAATCGGACCCAAGTATAGTGGAAAGCATCATGATTATGCGGCTCCACACCCACAAATCTTAGACCACCGCTGACTCGCGATGCCGCAAGAGTTTTGTAAGGGAGCTTCCAGACCGCGCCGGTTGCCGCTTTTGCAGCCGTTAGCCGCTTTCGCGCCGGTTGCCGCTATTGCAGCCGAAGCGCAGTGAGTCAAGCCATTGTTTCCCTAGCGCGCGTGTGGCACGAAAACTCATTGATCAGTATATTTTTCTGCGTTTTTTACATCTGCTTCTCAATTTGTTTGTTATTTGTTATAGGCTGGTTTCGAAGTACGAGTTTTTGGATAATGATTGCTTGAAGACTTGAAACACTGTTTGGACAGATGCGCTAATCGTTTACATTAAGCTGGAGTTTACGAAGTGACCTGTTTTTTTTTCAATCTTTATTAAACTCAAGTTTTGTGTGAATGATGCGGTTAGGGAAGCTGCATGCAATGTCAAAATAAGAAACAAATGCAAGAAACACAAGAAAATAGGTTGATTGAAGAGTTTTCGCGCTACATATGCGCCAAGAAGACAATACCTTGGCCCAATGCGCTTTGACTGTATTAGCGGCAACCGGCGCGAAAGCGGCTAACGGCTGCAAAAGCGGCAACTGGAAGCTTCCTAACGCCGGAATGGATGCGCTACACATGTAATCGCCATCGCGGCAAAATCGCAAGTTTGTATGTGTCGGGACAATGCTGCAGTTGACAATATCTCAAGCGTCATGAAGGTTGCGCTGAACTGACGATAGCTCGCGTCGACACTTACTGTCATATCACAAAACCACAAAACCATCTCCAAACTCCCATAGTTTATGCACTTTTTGGATAAAAATGGAGCATTTACAGCACATGTAACACATTTATCGCAAAACAATCTTATGAAACGCAGGTCGAGTAAAGACTTCTTCATTTAGCCGCGTTCGCTGGACCATCTTTTCGCTTATAGATAGCTGCGGCTTTTACCCTTGCTCCATACAGCTTCCCGTTTCTTCTTCAATGTTACATCTGCAACACATACAAAGACTTTATTCAATTGGCTTCAAATAAATACCTAATTGAGGTGAACTTACTCGTCCTTCCCAGGTAATTATTGTCGTCGCATTGATGCTTCCGTAGACCAATGCTTGCAAAAAGGGGAGTAAAAATCGGCTGAAAGGGAAGGGTGTAGTTGATAAACTGCTTGCATACTACCAAACTACATGAATTCGATTTGGATCAAATTTTACATTCTTTCCTCCTGCATCTGACTCAGCATGGAGTACGGCCACGAAATCGGATAATAATTCAAGTGTCTTCAACTTATAGTCCACGTATGGCAGCGACGAGTAGAAGCCAAAAGAAGAACTCGAAGAACTTTGCTAGAATTTAATTTCAAGATTTTGCGCTGATCTTGAGAGCAAAAAGTTGAAGCCACAAAAAGCTATCACAAAATCATGACATATTTTTAAGAGCAAGATATGGTGTATCATTGATGACTTAACGCGCAATATTACGTTTTCCAGCTTTTGGGTGATTGAAAAAAGACCGCGGATTAGAGTAGAAACAAGCTATTTAAGAAATTCAATGGTGCTTATTAGGGCAAAATCATTGAAAGACTACATAGATATTCTGAAAGAGAACGCAGAACCACGTGAGATGTTGACATTTAGACAAAAGGAATGAGATATATTTTGAGTTTGCTGTATTACTTTGTGATAATTA